TTTTTTTTTTTTTTTTTTTTTTTTTTTTTTTTTTTTTTTTTTTTTTTATGTTTATATATTTATGTCTATGTTTATGTTTATGTTTATATATATTTGCTTGTTTATTTGTCTTTTATTTTGTCTCCTTTTTTTTATTTTATTTTTTTTATTTTTATTTTGTCTCCTTTTTTCCTTGGTCTCCTTTTTTATTTACTTTGTCTCCTTTTTTATTTCTTTTGTCTCTCGCTTTATTTCGTTTGTCTCCTTTTACATTTTTTATTCATTTCTGTTGTCTCCTTTTTTGTTTCTTTTGTCTCCTTTTTAATTTCTTTTGTCTCCTTTTTTGTTCTACTGTCTCCTTTTTTCCCGTCTCCTTTTTTATTTCTTTTGTCTCCTTTTGTATTTCTTGTCTCTTTTTTTTATTTGTTCGGCCTCTTATCTATTTCTCCTGTCTCCTTTTTTATTAACACTGTCTCCTTTTTAATATCTGTTGTCTCCTTTTATTTTTACATTCATTTCTATTGCCTCCGTGTCTCCCCTGTTGTGTGTCTATGTCTCCTATTCTCTGTCTCTTCATTGAACATTAGCTGCTCTTTCTGCTGCTGCTGCTGCTGCTGCTACTACTGCTGCTGTTGCTGCTGCTGCTGCTGCTGCTGCTGTTGCTGCTGCTGCTGCTGCATGCAGGCTGCAAGCAATAGTAGGAGAAGAGGAGTTTATTAAGGGTTTGGGTTTATTTATTCGGAGACACGACGGAGACACAGTCTCCATCGATGATTTTATAAAAGCAATAGAAGATGCAACTGCCGTCAACTTGTCTCAGTTCAATCGATGGTTCACACAGGTCTCTCCTCACTACCCTCACCACCAGCAGCAGCAGCAGCAGCAGCAGCAGCAGCAGCAGCAGCAGCAGTAGCAGTAGCAGTAGCAGTAGCAGTAGCAGCAGTAAGAGCAGCAGCAGCAGTAGCAGCAGTAAGAGCAGCAGCAGTTGCAGTAGCAGCAGCAGCAGTAGAAGCAGCAGCAGTAGAAGCAGCAGCAGCAGTAGCAGCAGCAGCAGCAGCAGTAGTAGTAGCAGCAGTAGAAGCAGCAGCAGCAGCAACAGCAGCAGTAGCAGTAGCAGCAGTAGCAGCAGCAGCAGTAGCAGTAGCAGCAGTAGCAGCAGCAGCAGCAGCAACAGCAGCAGCAGTAGCACTTTCTCTAGCTGTCTCTGTCTCTGTCTCTATCTCTATCTCTGTTTGTCTGTCTGTATA